CATCCGATTCATCAATCTTTGGTATGTTGCCCCGGCGTTCTTTAACCCAAATGGCATCACTTTATAACAATAAACTCCCTTCGGAGTGATAAACGCCGTTTTTTTCTTGGTCCGGGGCATAAAGAGGGATCTGATGATATCCCGCTCGAGCATCCAGGAAGTCCATTCGTTCATATCCGGCTGTGGCATCTACCAGCTGGTCCACCTTCGGCAGGGGGTAGTCGTCCTTGGGACATGCCTTGTTAAGATCTGTGAAATCCACGCAGACACGCCATTTCCCCCCTTTCTTTTTTGCACATACTGTATTGGACAGCCATTCTGGGAACTGTATCTCTCGAATGGCGCCAGCTCTCAGGAGTTTGTCTATTTCCTCATTGACCGCGTTGGCGTGATGCGGGGCCATACGTCGTGGCCTTTGCTTTACTGGCTTGTGAGATGGGTCAACATGCAGCCTGTGAGTAATTATTTCGGGGTCTACTCCTGTCATTTCCATTTCGTTCCAGGCGAACACGTCTGTATTCCCTCTTAAGAACCTGATCATCTCCTCCTGTTCGGCTGCGGGCATCGAGGTCCCAACTAGGAAATACTTCTCTTCTTCTCCTTCTACCAAGGGCACCTTCCGGAGGTCTTCAACCGACCGCTCTGCTGGGTCTACCCGGGGGTCATCCATCCCCGGACGCCCGGACTGTAACTGCTATTTTTCTATGATCTCTTCCGGTGCTCGCCCCTTCTCCTGGCCGGACGCCCCGGCTCGGACGGCCGAATAAAAACAGTTCTTTGCGGACGCTTGATCTCCCCGGATCTCCATGACGCCCTCTGGCGTGGCGAACTTCAACTTTTGGTGGAGAGTGGAGTGCACCGCTCCTAAAGCGTGTAGCCATGTTCGACCCATGATCACGTTGTAAGGGGAGTCCGTGTCGATTACCACAAACTCTGTGTCGATGACGAAGGGACCAGTGGCGACCGGTAATGTAATTTTCCCCACGGGCAAGGCGAAAGAGCCGTTGAACCCGACGAGGGGTGTCCTGATTTTGGTCAAGTCTTGGGGCCAAAACCCATCCGCTTCAAAGTCTCGAAGTACATCACCTCCGAGGAACTCCCTGAATCAATCAAGATTCTCTTGACATCGAACTTCCCTATCTTCAGGGTTAAGACAAGGGCGTCGTTATGAGGAATCACCACGCCCGTCAAATCCGCATCAGAGAACATAATGCCTAGCTCACCCATCCTGGGCCTTTTGCTTGATGGCCCCACACCTCCTTCGGCTACCTTTCTGGTAAAAGCTACCCTCTTGAGGTCGGATTCGAGCTCTTTGGACGTGGGGCGCTCCAGTGGACACACATGGATGACGTCTATGACGTTGTTTGGTTCCTCGATCGGGGCATGAGCTCGTTTCTCTTCTGGCCTGGGCTCTATGTATTCTTTCAGATATCCATCTCGGACTAAGCCTTCCAAGAATGACTTGAATACCCTGCAGCTCTCGGTGCGATGCCCGACATCCCGGTGATATGAGCATCTTACTGATTGATCACGGGTGGAGAGGTCGCTTTGCATCCTGGGCGGCCATTTGAAAAACGGTTCATGTTTGATTTTATGGAGCAACCTGTAGATGGGTTCCTTGAAGACGGTGTGAACTCCTCTGGACGAACCCCCTGGACGGGGTAGCAATCCCTTCCGGGGAATGTCTTCATGCTCTTTTTCCTTTCTCTTGGGTTGGAGGGCTCGGCCTTTGTTGCCCCCCATCTCGTCCTCGACCCTTGAGTACTTGTTGATTCGGTCCATCAGTTCCCCCATATCTGAGGGAGTCTTTTTGGTCAGGGATCTGTACAGGTCCGTGTCCCTGGCCAAGCCGAGCCGGAATGATGCTGCTGCCATGACCTCCGAGCATCCCTCGACCTCATTGACTTCTTCCCAGTATCGGATGGCGTACTGGCGAAGAGTCTCGGATTCCCTCCTCCTGAGGGTCAGCAGTGATCCAATGTCCTTTGGGCGCTTACTCCCCGTAATGAATCGGGTTAGGAACTGCCTTGTCAATTCTTTCCAGGACCCAATACTGTTTGAGGGAAGCGCCTCGAACCACCTCATCGCGGAGTCCCCCAAGCTCATGGGGAATACCCGGCATAGAAACCGTTGGTCCGAATGATAGAGGGACATCATCTGCTTATACTGTCTGATATGGGCGTCGGGATCAGATCGCCCGTCATAGGTCTTGAATCGTGGCACGACGAACTTTCTTGAGACGTCCATCTCGCTGATTTCCCTTGTGAAGGGTGTTTGCATGATTTCGTCCTCGGCCTCGTCCTGGATCATCTTGCCCTTTCTCCTGGAGTCTAATCGGGCTCTGAGATCTTCTTCCCTTGCAGGATGCCTCCTGAAGTCTCTGGGTTCGTCGGTAAGCCCCTCGTTTCCTGGGAGTCGTGTAGATTGGGTTGAGTCCTCCTCGGATTCATCTCCCTTCCTCCGTCTGGATAAACCTCGCCGGAGGTCGTCCAGGGCCAATGGCCTTACTTTCCTGGAATGGTTGTCCAGATGGCATTCGCCGGCCTTGGGTCGCTTCGGGGCCCTGGAGCTTTCTGCTTTGTGGTCCAGGTGGTTCCTTAGATCTTTTGTCTCCGCCTCATGGACGGGGAGTCCTCGGGAGAGGAATGAATCCCTTGACCCTCCGCCTGAGGCAGCAAACTCGTCGAGCCGGCTAAGGACGTTTACATTGTCCTTCTCCAGCTGACGTAATCTATCGCCAAATTTCTCTTCAATCACCTCTGCCAGCTGACGGGCCAAGGGGGCTGATCCTCCTGACCTGATCCCCATACTGGTTTGAGGGGTTACCCCCCTTGACCGAGTGGAGGCACTTTTAATCGTACTGGTGCGATCCCTCCCTCCGTGATGGCAGGGAGCTTGCAACTCATGACTCCGTTGGTGGGTTCCCTTCCCTTTCTGTCTGGTATTCACCATGGTCACTGTTCTTTTATAGAGAAAAGATTAGGAAAACTACTCGTTTTCCCACAGACGGCGCCAGATTGTGCGGGCTTGATCCTGCACGATATATATAAAATACTGGGAACAGATCTCTCCCCTGGTGAACTTTGGGTGAGCCGGTTGAGTGGCCAAGCACACTGCTCGAAACAGCTTACGATCCTGGGAAAGGAGGAACGATACTGTACGTGCGAAAGATATTTCCTGGAACAAAAGAGAACAGGTTAGAAGGGCGCCGGAGTGTTTTCCGGCGTATCCCCTCCGACGATCTAGTCAGTCTTTGAATGAGAGAGAGGAAGGAGAAAACACTGAGAAGGATATTTCGTAGTTGAGAGTTTGTGATTGCCCCCAGTTTGCCTTTTTGAGAGGGGTATTTATACCTTAGAAACTCATGATTGCTGTCAGTGTGGTCAGTAGGTGATCATCAGGCACTGGCAGCGTGTGTCCTGATTTGATGAGGAATGTCTTCTCTAATTGACTGCTCGGGATCCCGAGCAATCAATGTTGAGTCGTCGGGACGCCGACGGTACAATATGCTCCTTTCGGGAAGGATGCAATAAATGCTCTGTAAAAGGAGCATTTATTGCCTTTCATATCCGAACCTTACCGCATTGAATGCGGTCTCGTCAACAGAAGGGTGCAATTAATTGTTTGCTTCCCAAAGCGCATGTCAGCAATAGCGTGCGGTTTGCCTGTTTTTGATGTGACATCATATGCCACGCGTCCGTCACGTATTGGCTACGACTTCTGTATCCCAGCATGTTCTGACATTTCTTGTGTAAGAAGAGATCATGATGACTAGTCCATACTGGCATAGGCTGATGTCCAGTTTTGTCAGTAGCTTCATCCGGGAGTAGAGGAAGCGTCCAGGATGGAGTGACCCTCGGTGCCGAGGAAAGACTGACCTCGGGGGGACCAAGGGTGGTGTGTTCCCGAGGTACATGGCGCCCGAGGACACATGTATTTGTATACTGTACCGAATATGTGATCCTATATGAGATGTACCTCGGGGAGAGGGAGCTTTGCCGATGGTGCTTGAACCCCGAGCAACATTGTTCTAGAAATTCCCGAGGACACGTGTCTTCATCATAGGCTTTTTCAGAAGAGTCCCATCAGATTCATTGGAATTCTTCAACCTTCTAACTGAATATTAGATGGTTAGCCCTTCAACTAAAGTCCTCGTGGATAATTGTAGATTTATCATTAAGATGCAAAATGTAGTTTTGGCTCACACCCTGAGAGAAGGGAACAACTGTGCAGGCAGATCACCTTGCTAATCTTGGTGTGAGCCAACTTGAAGAACTAGTGATCCTTGTGTCGCCACCTCATTTTCTTTGGCATTTGTTATTAGCAGACATCTCTGGTACTTGTTTTCTTAGAAAACCCAGGTAAATGACGTTCCCTCCGAAGCAACTAAAAAAAAAAACACAGCTCATATACCACTTAATGAACACTTGCGTTGCATTTCATTCAAACAAATTTAAGTTAATAATATTTTTATTAATTTAATAAAAAATATAAATTATATTCATAATCATTTAAATAATACCTCATATTATTCAAGTTCATATTTTTTTATGTTTTGCACATTGCACATTTTTCCTAGACACTTTGATAATTTCCATCCAAAAGACAATGGACGTTTGTATTTGGAGCAATGTGGAATCAATTAAAGTAGTTGCGGGATATTGTTGAAAATGATATTTCAAGGGACAAAGTCAAATTGAGTCCATAGTTAAGAGGGTCAAAGTATAATTTACCCTTCAAACAAATTTCTAAAAGAAAATAAATCATAAAATTTTCTCCTTTGACTCAATCTCAAGAATTTCCTCCGTTGAAGGCTTGAATATTGTTAGCTATCACATGCCTTTTGTTTGCGGATCATGACGAGTGTTGATTATTTCCTTATTCAACCTGCAGTCTTAGTGTTAGACTACTTCACAAACTAGCAAACCATGTCCATACACATCAAGTTGTATATCAAAATTTTCATACATCAGTGAACCTTTTACCTTCTGAAGAACATAACTATTTAAAATTAACTTTTTATTTATGTGGGATAAAATACAAATTTCATACTGAACTATACTTTCTCTTTCTTGGTGGTCAGATACAAGTACAACCCATTTTTATTTAGGAATAATAGCATAAATTACTAGTTTCTTTTTAACGGTCTAATTATCTTAGTTGAAACTAAGTTGGTACTTAGGCTGCTTATCAGGGGTGAAGAGGCCAAAATGTTTCTCAGACTCATCCCCTCCCTTTTGGTTCTCATCAAACATGGCAAATAAGTAAGTTTCTATAGCCCTTCCAGGCCTCTTGGGACTCCCTCCCTTCACATGATTAATCAAATTCCTATAGTAAGTGCCTGCATTTTCTGGTGAAGCCGCAGGGTCACCAGCTGACGGCCAGCCACTCTCTGATACGACGATTTCAATGTTACCTCCACCTGCCTTCTCCAGAGCCGAATACAGAGCATCCAATATCGCATCAAAAAGGTTTCGGTACCCCAGTGCTCCATCTTGTACTACAACTCCTGGTGATGTGAATAAAGCATAGGGGAGCTGAATACTTTGTGTATTGCGAATGTAGGCGAAGTAGGGGTATATGTTGACCAGCAGTGGGGAATTATTGTTAATCAAAAAGCCAATTATTGGGTCAATGAATGACCTAACATTGTCTTTGAATGAGCCTTGTGATGGAGGGAAATCAGTTCCGAGGAGCGGCGTGTAGGTTGCCGTTGAGACCTTGATTTGGTTTTGCAATCCCGCCGCATTAAGGGCATTTTGGACATTTTGCATGGCGGGGCCAATGAACTGGGCAATCTGAGCATTTCCACCATTGGGATCCACTTCGTTCCCAACGGCGATGTATCGGATTTTAACGTCCGAGAAGTAGTTCTGGACGTTATTTTGAACCCATTGAGTGGCAGCTGAGGCATCGGATGCAAGAGATTGAACGTCAGGGTTAGGCACATCAAGGATGAGTTCTATGTTGGATCCTTTAAGGGCCTGGAGAGTTGCTTGGTTTGGACCATAAAGTCTCATCCTTCCAATGCCATTAGATTGGTAGAGTTGTACAACTTCCTGATCAGATGGTAAATTGTTGCCAACTTGTCCATTGCAAACCCCTACGGATTGTGCACCTGCATTAGATTCAACAAACCTTTGAAGGCTTTTAGAGTAAACAATCAAAACTTAGTCTGAATAAATGTGTTGTGACTAATAAATATGTGGATTGGCTAGCTAAATTAGTCTCAATATGAAAGAAGACTAAACATAATGAAATCTCTAGGAATGCTTATTTGATGGAACCAAAAAGCATTTCCACTGGATTAATGCTTAATATACCAATCTATATAATAAAACATAATGTAAAGCAGAACAATAGTTATAGATAATTGCCATCATCCATTAGCCATATTTATAATTAAAATATAGAAACACCAACGAGAGTCAAACTTAAGACATCCGAGTTTACAATCTATCTCAAAGTTAACTCCACACCACTAGGCGGCCCGTGGGGATTCCCTAGAACCCATTCTTGGAGACTAAAGTAGGTGTTATTTTGTTCTATTATTGAATGAAAGCATGAATGATTATGCTCTTTGTGATTAAAAAAAAATGCTATGTTTCTATGAGGAGTGAGAATGGAAGGAAGGATGGACCTGTTAAGGGTATGCCAAGAAGCAACAGCCCAAGAAAAAACAATGCAGTGGCCATAATAAGTCTATTGCTGTTTGCATAAAAAGCAGCCATTGAGAAGAGTAAAGAAATATTCAAGAAAAACCTTCTTACAATAAGAAAGAATTTCAAAGAAGATATACCAACTTTACAATGTTGTTGTTCCTTATATAGAGGCTTGTGGCACCTCAAAAGAATACCCAGTCAAGCACTCCATGGAAATTTCATAACCCCTAGACGATGGGTACAAGTTACATTGAAAAATCATAAGACTAATGCGAATTAGATATTAATGAGGCAAGAATTTTGTAAGTCTATTGGGAAATAAGACAAAAGTTAGTTGTGAAAAACCTTTGTGCCTGTGTTCAGTGACCATCTCTCAATTTGCCACAATTTGTGGCACATTTGTCGCCACTTTCATTGTCTTATGTTTGTAGTTTCTGTTTTGAAAAGTCATGGGTTTGGGAGGGCATAACATTGTTTGAACTGCTGGCTGGCCTAACATGAATGGACCAGGAGCCAGTAGTTTGGAACGTATGGGCAATGACGAAACCACTGTAGGACCGAGAGGTGCCATAAATTGACTCATATGTTTAGATTTGACTTGATTGTAATTGACAGAATATACAAGGAAAGCCAAGTTCAATTTTTTGGAATAAAGCCTTCAAAATTAAACCCCAACACTCTATCATCAATCTTAAATTAATCAATTTTCAACAAAAAAACTCTCTTGAAAATCTATATAATTAACAATAAAATCAAAAAACCTAGTAGTTCAAACTTTAAATTAACAATTTATTAAATATGAGTGAGAGAGAAGTGTACATAATGTAGAACTATTTGAAAATAAATCTGGGATTATTTATCTTTCCAATAGGTATTTTATAATCATAAACTTATTAATAAGAACCTATTCAAGCCAAGTCAAAGTGTCATGCATTGGATTTGGTCCGTTTACAAAACGAGCTTGGACATTTGATTAAATTTGTTTATTTTACAATTTGCACGTATCTGTTAACCTATATAAGTCAAAGTCAAATCGAGCTTGACTTGTGCAAACTGTTTAACATTTGTTGGTAAATTTTGATATTAATATAAGAGTAATGCTACATTGACTAAAATTTGGGACCAAATTTGGAACCTAAATGATATGGTAATTGATTTGGGTTTCTTTATTTGGTATTATGTCATTTGAACCCCAATAAAAACTCTAAATAATATGTTGTCACATTATTTGGGCTCTAAATTTGATCCCAAAATTTGATCAGTATAACATTACTCTTAATATAATTCATTATACCAATTAGATTAATTAATGGATTCATTCTTGTATATGATATATACATCATACTTACACGTGAATATCATTGGATACATGTATTCATATGCATGTACATTCATGAATGGCTTGTATTCATGAATTAATAATTTTTACATACATGTATAATATGTATACATGCATAAGTTGGATACTTGACCACTACCAAATTATAAGAGCCTATAAATAGATTCTCTAAAATTTGAATTTGAATCTTTTGAAAAATTATCCAACACTTACGATGCGTTTATTGGAGTGGATAAAAAAATAGAAGAATGGAAAGTGAAAGTGATACTCTTTCTATTATTCAAGAAGAACTTTTCTTTCTTTCCTTCCTTCCTTCGGAGTTAAACAAACAAAACATTAAAATATATTACACACTTGAGGGTTAAAGCCAAAAAAATGTGTTTTATTGGTGGAGCTTTGGAATGTTGATTGTGTTGGTGGAGTTTTGAACTTAACCACTTGTAGAGAGCTAATTAGAGTCATACAACAAACTATGAAGCTATTATATCATGGAGGGGATAAATCGAACAAGAAGGTCGTTGCACCGGTTTTGGACTTTACCGGTTTTGGACTTTACCATCCATAGAAGACTTGAATCTCCTTAAAGAGAACAAGATATCCGTGTCTCGGCTTGTTTTGTGTGAAATTTTATTAATTTGTACTTTTATTTCTCAATTTAATGCAGCCTTAATCCGTAGGTATTACAATTTTCTTTACTATCCCTTTGTATACGAATATAAACCCCTGTCAATCTTCTTCGTTCTGGGTTCTAGCTTTGAATTCTTCGCCCAGTCCCTCCATACGACTCTCTCTCTCTCTCTCTCTCACACACACACACACACACGCACAGTTAAGAAGAATGGCCTGATTTTTGTTGACGAGGCCACTGGGCTAAGACTGACCCAGTTGTGTTCTTCTATGTCAAGCCGAAGACAATTGGCATAAAGATTAGCATTACCTGCAGTTGAGTTACAAGATATGGTACATGTACATTTGAATGATGATGAGCAATTACACCTAATTTTGTGTTCTTTTTTTTTTTTTCTCTCTTTATTTCTTCTTATTTTACATTTACTATAGTGTCAAAGTTACGTTATAAAAGAATAGTGAACGATACTCTCTTTTCATAATACTTGATTATAAATTTGTATTCCTATCATAAATACATCTTTTTATATGATGAATTGATCTTTCTGATTCACTATCTATTTCTCCTTTGGGAATTACTCGTGTACAAAATCTAGTACAATTTATTCTATAATTCATACCAAACTAGAGTCTTAAGACCTTTTGTGATTTGTGAATCTTATTTTACATTTGTAATAGGCGTAAGAAGACATGATCCCCAAGCTGATGCGTGGCATGTCCCCTCTCTTCTAGATCCAAGGGAAACAAAAATCAAGATTTTGTGTTGTGGTCCCTTTTTCGAATTTCAAGTTCAATTTACTTTTTCAATTTGAAACTCTTAATCAAACTGATGACAACCATTTTGATCATCGTGTGTTTGCGCTATTTCAATGAGATTATCATTGAAAGCAAGATATATATTAAGTTATTTACCCGCTATTGAAATCATCATCATCGAGAAAGCAAGATAAAGATTAAGTTCTTTACCTAACTATTGGAATCATCATCATCGAGGTGTTTGTTAAATTCTCATTGATTTTTGCACCTAAAAAAAATATTTTCATCCTATGAATTTTAAGGTATGTGAAATTTTATATTTATTTTTTTAACAAAGCGATAGGGACTTTATTTAACATAAGTTGATGTAGGCCAGAAACAGACCTACGCCAAGATAATCTCTCAAAAAGAATACATTGCATTACGAGTGAGATGCCAAAGAAAAAATGAACGAGAAAAAGAATCGAAGAGAAATCTATAACATAAAATTGTGCATGCTGCTATAGTGCCCAAGAAATATAATTTAATTGACAATATAACTGTCTTATCGAAAAATAATATAATTATAATACTATAATTATTTTTTGGACTTTTCGACCTAATTGTCCTTCCCCGTCCCAAGAGATCCATTTTTTCTTTTCAAGAGGCCGGCCCAATAACAATACTATCAAAATCTGGACTTCAGGCCCGGTCCAGAAGAAGGCCCCATAGTTATAATGCATACTTAGTTACCCCACATAAGAAAATTTGAAGGGTCTTTTTTAGTAAATTTATTTGGACTTAAATCCACTCAAAAAACTAATTTGGAAATAAGTACATTTTAATCTTCATTGTATAAAATGTCTTCAATAGTTATATCTAATCAAAACTTATTTGGAAAAACTAACAACTCCTAAAAACTTAATTAAAAATTTAATTATTGTGATAGAGTGACACCATACAGTAAGTACTTACTTTGTTGTGGGCAATACAATAGTTTTAATGCTACCACAATTCCCAAATTAGAAGTTGTTGTATTTGAAAACATTGAAACTAGCACTGATAGCTAGTATTTATGGTAGGAGTAATTCAGTAATATAAAAAAATTAAAATGTGTACTTAATGACAATAGTTTGATGAAAAGAGGACTCAATGGAGTATAAGTCTGACTATGGTATTCAAAGTCAAATAAGTTTAAAAAAAGTACCCACGACCAATTATCCCAAATTTTAAATCCATTAGAATTTAAGCCCCAAAAAAAAAAAATTTGGAGGTCGGTCCCCCTATATGGACTTATTTGGAGATAAGTCTGTCAAGGAAAATTATTTGATTTTAAGTTTATTTTTTTATCAATTTTACTATTGTAACTATTCCTTGTAGGAATGTTATAAACGATATTTATGGACACAATAACCAGTCATATACATCTCTTTCATAAATGCCTTTAATTCATCTATAATCTTTTAAGTCACAATGTTTCTTTATCCGAAAAACAAGAAACCGGCATTTACCAAAAACTGTTCGTATTCAAATTTCAAACTCATTATATTTCATAAAATACAATTTCAATTAACTATTCTAGTTTACTTTGGACTCTATCGACAAAATATTAATATTTAAAAAATAACAATAGTAACATACTCAACAAAGACAGTAATATGATCACTAAAAAAATAGTAACATGCTCACAAAAAAAGTGGTAACATGGCAAAAAAGTAATAACAATTAGAGATTTAATTATGTCAAAGTGGGTATTAACCTTATAACCAAGGTTCGAGAGAACTCATACATTAGTATTAAATTAAAGTATTATATATTTCGATTGTGTTGATTTTTTTGTTGTGCAAGACAATCGAGTATTCTTTGGTTGTTACTATGGAAAAAGTTCATGTTACTGTACGTGATCGAAAAATAGAATTTCGATGTTTTGATGTTCAAAATTGGTGTTGAGTATCGTAATTTAACTGTCGATTGTGTGTTACTACTCATCATTTTGTAAATTGTCAATTTGTAAATCTTATTTTCACTAAAATTATTTGAAAGTTGATGTTACTGTAAAAAAACTATTGTCTTGTATTTTGTAAAATTAGATATGTTACTAAGCACAAAGTTTTGATATTACTGTGAATATTAAAGTATATGTTAGATAATATATGTCTCAATATTTGCAATTGTATGTTAAAATTCATTATAGTAATATTAGTGTCAGTATAGTAACACAACTGTGCTGGTAACACAATCCTAATTGTAACTTCAATCATATAGTAACATGAATGTTACTATATATTAACATGCGTGTTACTGAACTATGTTGGTATTGTTCAACCTCCCTATATTATGCATTACCCTTATTAAGGAAATTTTGTGATCTGATTTTGACTTAATAGATCAGCAATTTATTCGCACATTAAGCGGCT